GAATGCTATTTAGTTGCATGCTTTAACCAAAGATTTTCTTTCCTGCATTTAAGGTGAAAGCTTGCAGAGATAAAGCAGTTGCTGAGCAATGTCTTAGAGCTTTAACAGATGGTGCTAAAACAGGTCAAGGCAACCTCTTGGAGCTTGCAGTAGCAGCAGCACGTGCAAGGTATGGAAAAGAAAAAGCTTCCTTTCTTCTTCAAATTTCCAATAGTTCTGGGCAATGTTGGCTATCAAACTGAATATGTATACTCTGAGATTTTTGAAGAGGAACCAGGATAATCTTTGTAAAATATGCTATCCTTGATAAAATGATATGCAGAATAGTTCTTCAGTCCTCCAAAATGTTTCGGAGGTGTAGGTAAACCTTGCCAAACCGCAGTCAAACTTGTTTTTCTTTTCTTTTTTTTTAATCGGGCATCAATAGCTTTAAAAATTCTAAGAAGTATGTTTAATTTATTTTTAAAGCACATTACTAGGAACAAACCTAATCTAAAACAGTTCTGTTCCCACACTTTCTATTTACAGGTCACTTACACAGTTAGAACACACAGGTTTTTTCTGAGGTACTGCCCTGCAGTGTCACAGGTGAGAGAGCTTGCAAAAAATACCTGAGATGGAAAAAAGGAATAGAAAAATCTTTATTGCACTTTGCTATTTGACCCTTTGCACCACCAACTGGCATGAAGCATTTTTATCTGATGTAAAAATTCGTCTCTGTTTTAAAGACAATAAGTGCTTCTAAACAGGGTGTACAGCACCTTCTGTAGCTTTGGGACATTAATCCCATTCATCTAACAGTGATTTTGTTGCCTTTTCCAACTGAGTTTTGGGCTTTGGATTCTTCTCATTGCATTATACGCTTCAGAAATAAATGTAGTAACACTAAGTGCAGTAAAATAAAACAGCCCCTCAGTGTAAATGAGCTAGAAATAAGACACCCCAAACCATCCTTATCCAAGTCCTGGAGAGAGGCCATGCCAACCTGTCTTTATTCTAATTTGATTCCTTTCCATTTACTTCATCCTCAGCAAACACATGTGAAACAGATCTTCCTCCAGAATACAGTTTGTCATGGCTCTTTCCAAAGCATGTCAGCACCACTCTTGAGTTGCAGAGATCATTAGAGTGTAATGTTGGACTTAACAAGTTAACCTTTTTACTACAGTATTTCTGCAATTAGCTCTTAGTATCTTTCTCTGTTATGAGATCACTATTGTGCCAGTGCCCAGGAGCACTCACAGACTAGTACCTCCCTGCCTCAGGCACAGGACAGATCAAAAACCCACCAGTCCTTTTCCTGCCTCCACTCCAAGCAGCTTACAGTTTAAGTATAAGGTGAGATAACAGATGGATACAGACAGAGCAGCAAATGAAAAGAACGATACAGGATTGGTCAATATAAGGCAATATTAAAGCTTGCCAGCAGTCAAGTTGTTCACTGACTTCCTGCAAAGCTTTAGGAGAAATCTGAAGGACAGTGAAGTAGCTTTGTGAGTCATAGCAGGAATTTGCTGCCTAGGTGTGAGAGGCAATGTGGGAGAAGACACAGAGGTGCTTGTTTGGAAATTTAACACATAGGTGATCTCCCAGATTTATCCCCCTTACTTATCAAAACACGGCATACGGGGACATCTAGTGGCTGAACAAAGTACCACGAGTAAACATCACTAGAGAGCTTTACTTTAGCGCAGGGGTGTCCAATTCACCTGGTCCCACACTCCGGGAGGGTGGGGGGAGTGATGATGATGAAGGAACCACTTGCAATTCATGGCTGTAAAGGGCAAATTGAAGGCATGAGGCCAACTCCAAAGTCTTTCAAAAAATGGCAAACTACATCTAATAGAATCACACCCTGCTCAGAGTTACCAACGAGGATCTGTGGTCTCCGAGTCTTTAATAAAGTTTGCTGGAACACAGAGAAAGAGAGCACCCAGCAGCAGGGAAAGCAGCTCTCCTGGGCAGGAGGGCAGGAGAGATGCCATGCCCTAATCTCACTAGGAACAGATCATTTCTAATGTTTAGAATCCCATCAAAAAGAAAGCTTCCCTATGAATATGTCACCAGGATGCAAATACAATTTATGAAGTCAAAGAAGCTAAAAAAACTGGAATGAAAATGATTTCTTCCATTGCCCTGCATTGGGCATAACATTTTTATATTGTATCAGTGTGCGGTTACATAGCTGTAAGCCAGGAGTGGGCAAAATATGGCATGCGGGCTGGATCCGGCCCATCGAGGGATATTGTCAGGCTCGCAGCAGGTCCCTTGGTCCCACCTAGCCCAAGCACAGGGGGCAGCCTGGACCTTGGTGTATGCAGCCAGCCCTGTTGCCCCAGGGCTTGCAGCCAGACTCCATTTCCTGGCAGCCCCAGCGGCAACGGCTCCTTCCAGCTGCTGCAGCCACTGGACCTGGTCCCACTGCCTGGGCACCCTGGCCCATCCATTCTGCACCCACCACCAGGGCTGGGACCCACATAGGCAAGGTGCTTGGCCAGGTGACTGGGATGGGGCCGGAGGCAGGCAGGCAGGGAGCAGCATCCCGGAGCAAGATGGGTGGGTGGGGCTGAGGAGACCCTGGGATCTTGGGGCAGTGACAGCATAGGGCCAGGCCCACCCATCCCATTCCTAAATGCTGTTCCCTGCTCACCCATGGTCCCATCCCACATAGGGAGTTTTGGTGCATTATTGCGCCATGGAAGGGTGGATGCTGATCCATCCTGTATCAGCTCAGCAAAAGTCCCTACATGGCCCATGGATCCAAATAATGCCCACTCCTGCTGTAAACAAGCATGCTGCTGTTTCTGTTTGACCATTATGAACACAAGGTGTGGGAATCCCATGGAAATGAGGGGGATGATTTAAATATCAATGACAGTCAGTGAAAAACTTTATCTCTGGGTTTTCAGCTTTTGGATGTGCTTTAAATGAGCCTGCATATTAATCACTGACCGTATCACTCACATACAGATTACATTTGGCCAGTTATGCGATGATTTGGGTTTTACGCAAATTTAAAAGCTATAGGAGGACAAGAAAAGAAAAGAAGTATTAATATTAGATTGGATTTCTCAAAGCTATATGGATTTTGGTTGCAAAGTGATAAGGAAATGGAGTTTGTTAATCCTGGGAGTAGGTCAATAGGAGGAATAATGTTCTGGCTTCCTGAGGCAGAGAAGAACTGTCTATTCCAAGGGCGACTTGAGTAGTGTGGGAAAAAGATAGCAAGGATAGCCGGGAATTTGCAGGAAGTAAAGAGATCACCATGAGACTTATTAGAGGATTCCAGTTAATACACCAGGAAGTCATCTTCAGGATATATTGGATGCCTGCCAGCTTGCATAGGTCTGCAGTTAGAGATAGTAATAACTGTTGGACATGTAGCAATAGAAGATAAACTGAACATAATTTCCTTGGCTGGTTAACACAAGAGCATAACTGCCTTTTACTGGGTCAGACCCTAGGTCCATCTTGCCCAGTATCCTGTGTCATACTGTGGCAGAGAGTGGATGCTGAAAGGGAGAGTGCATTGGGTATGACCAGGGTTTTTTCCACTGCTTCTCTCACTTGCAGTCTTCATCATTCGAAGTCTAGGAAGTTCTGATTAAAAGGCTGTATCCCTGACTTCCATGGTAAAAGCATAAGAGCAAGAATATGTAACACCCAAACGTGACTTCAAGCAGTGATATCCTAAATCCTCAAAGAATCTTGTATTAGAGGATTTGGAGAACATTTAAATAGACTGCAAAACCAATTTTGGCTTCAAGCATTCCTTGTAGCTACATGTAATATAGTAGAACAAGTGCATTTTCCAAATGATTAAATAGGATTAAGTGTGTCAAATGTTATGCATGCATTGGTGAATTGGCCAATTTAGGTACAGTTGAAAGAAAAGTGTAATTGGATGGGGCACGGTCGTTATTTTTGCTTCTCTGTAATTAATGTCTCTTGAATATAAGTTTTGTGTCAGTTGCTGTTTAACTAAGCTTTGCAGCAACTTAGATGCATTTCTTTGTGAAAGTGGTATTTGCTTGCAAATTACCCAAGTTTTGCATATCTTTATTTTATGGATACTAATAAAAGCTCCTAAGCTAGGCACTGTGTTGTCAGTAATCACTTTGAAGCCAATTAGTCTGACAGAGGCCTGCTTCATTTAGTAGCCAATCAATTGAGAATTCAGGATTACATAGCAAAACCTCTGCTTGCAGTGAAGTATAAAATAAACTAATATACCTGTCACTTGAAATTTTGCTTTTTGAATTATGTAGTTGCTAGTTGGTTCAGTAGCCCTCCAAGCATCATTACCTAGAACTGGTTTCTGATCCATTTCTTAACCAGAGCAAGGAGCACCAATGAGGTAGAGCTAATAGATGAACTGTTTAACATTTTTCCAAGGAGGAGCTTTTCTTGTTTTTAATGGCCTGTTTATTTCCTTCGATTTTAGGCTGCTGGTTTGTTCCATTATATTTTTTCCCAGTATTGTCCAGATTCTACACTTTAGATTTAGAGAGAGAGAAAAGTCTTTTCTCACAGAATGGTGGAATCCACTAATATTAGTTGTAAGCCCATCCAGGCAATGACTGTTATATGTTACATTCATACAGTACAGTAACCACAATGAGACCCAGCCACAATTGTAGCTTTCAGATGGGGCTTCAACCTAAATATTTCTTATTAGCAGGGATCCTGGTTTTTGCTGATTTAAAACAAAAAAATCCCCAATTTTTGGATTAAAAAAAACCCCCAAAATCCACATTTTTCTGTGATTCAAATGAGACGCCACTAGCATATAGATACATATATAGTAGTGTTTCATTTTAATCACGGAAAAATGTGGATTTTGGGTTACTACTTTAAATCTGAAAATTGAGGATTCTTTTTTAGTCATAAAACCAGGATCCCTTCTTATTAGTAACAAGTACGTGGATGAACGGACACTAGCTCTCCCTAAGTTGTCCTGTTATGAAGCAAAACGTTCTGGAGTGAGAAACTGGGAGATAAGAAAAAACAGCAGGAAAAGTAGAATGGAAGAAAATAAAAAATGAATGGCTAATAGAATAAAACAAAGCATCCAACAGAGTTGTATCTCTGAGCAGATCTGTCAGGCAAAGCGGTGGGCTGCTGTCACAGACTGGATGGAAGCCCTAGTGCTGGACATGGACCAGATTTTTGTGTTTCAGCCTCACATGGAGCCTGTATGCTCTTTTGCTTCCTTTCATTGGAGTAGGCTAGAGCTCTATATCTTTCTTTGCCTCCTCTGGCATGCTTCCTTTGTGTTACCCCTTTATGGATACTGGACTGTGGAGCTGAATCCCAAAAACTGCCGATTCCCAAAGTACCCACAAGCATGCCTTTTCCAGAGCTCCCAACTGGTTGGCACCTTAGGTTTATAGTCCACCTGTTCCAGGACTTGTGATAGTGGAAGTGCACCGACTTTGTAATGGGTCCAAAACCCAGCACACTTTATGAGAGAGAGCACAAGAAATGTATCGCTGCAGATAAAGCGGTGAAATAACTGCTTGTGAAATTTCCCTGCTTCACCACTGTGGGGTGTTTTTTTGGCCTGTATCAGAGCGCATGCTTCTTCCTCTGCATTATGAAGTCTCTTGTCACTCATGTAGCTAGTACTCTACTTCTAGTCTTTTCTCCTATTGCCCAGGAATTCAGACTTCAACAATTGCTTTGAAGAGCAGTAGCCATCTCTTTCTCCAAAAGTGCTTTATGTAAATGGTCAGTTATCAAATTGAATACTGTTCCAGGTGCAGGGAACCCAAAAGAGTCACATAATCAAAATAGAATTTGAATCCTATTCTATATAGATTCTTTATTGGGTTGTTAAAGTAAACTTAACACCATGGATATTTGTACACGTGCTTGCGCTGCAATGTCAGGCACTTTTAAAAGTGCCCAGCGCTGTGGCACGCACATTTGTATAAACAGCGAAATGCGCATCAGCACTGAGAAAATGGCAGTGGCACACTTTTGAACTAAAACACATCAAAGGTGTTTTAGTTCAGAAGCGCACCAACGCTTTTTTCTGTGCGTTGATGCACATTTCGCCAATTATACAAATGCATGTGATGCAGCGCTGGGCACATCAGCTTGCATGAGGAGCTGACTCGATACATCTCTAGTGCATTGGAGCAGACAAAACGTACGTGTATAAATGCCCATGTTCTCCGAGCACTCTCCAGTAGTGCTTTTGAGAGAAAGCACTGCCTTATTTCTGGTGAATGTTTATGTATCATCTTCCCCTCGCATTGAGAAAAGTATCCAGTGGAGTATCTTGTTACGGTGCAAATGTTCTGTTTTTCTATGTTTATATTATTACTTATATGTGTATTCCTGTGCATTAATTAGAGTAGACTGGATTGTTGCCAGTGACTTCTGTATCTTATTTTCATTGCATTATCCTCACCCTATTGCAGATGCACTGTTGGAGAAATAACAAACGCAATGAAGGAGGTGTTTGGGGAGCATAAGGCCAATGACAGAATGGTGAGCGGAGCCTACCGCCAGGAATTTGGAGAGAGTGATGAAATTCTTCATGCCATTAATAGGTAAGAGTTTAACATTAGACCAGGCGTTGGCGACCCTCAGCATGTGAGGCCATTTTGCTCAGCACGCCACAGCCAGCCTGACCTCTGAGCAGCTGCTGTAGGCCGCAGAGCCCAGGCTGCTTGCAGCAGGCAGCCAGGAGGCTGCAAACAGGTGCAGCAAGCTCCAAAGCCCTGGCCAGGCTCCGTGGTGGTGGCAGTTGTACATGCGCTTTGGGGCTCACAGCCAGGAAAGGGGTCTAGGGCTGGGACAGCACAACCACAGCCCCTCCCCTACTGTCCATCCAGAGGCGTGTGTGCAGTCGCCGCTGCCACAGAGCAAGTGCCAGGGCTCCATACCCTGGTGAAGGTGTTTACAGCCTCCTGACTTCCTGCCACAGCTGGCCAAGGCTCTGGGCAGGTGTTGTAGGCGGCCGGCAGGCTGCAAACAGCTGTATCAGGGTCCAGAGCTCTGGCACCAGCTCCATGGCAGTGGTGAGTGCACATGCAATCGTGGTACATGGTCGAGGTTGGGATGTTTTTGGCACTGTGGCCAAAAATGTTGCCAACCCCTGTGTCATACAGTCAGTACATATTGTGAGCCCTCCATAATGGGTGACTTAAGAATTTTTGCAGACTTACAGACTAAACAGAAAACAAAAAGAGTTTTTGTAGGTTGTGCAACTTCCTTTATTCTCAGTATTCATAATATAGGGATATACTGCATTTTCTCACATACTGCACACCCCAGCATATAATGTGCACCTTGTTTTTGAAAAGCAGAATGAAGAAGAAAAGATTTTTCCAGTGTTAAGGCTGCATAGAGCAGGGATAGAGGCTAACTTCCGCTGACTTACCCTCACTTTCCGCTGACTTACCCTCACTTTCCTGCTAAATGAAAGCTGAATCCCTTGGTCAGGGGTGGGCAAAATACAGCCCACAGGCTGGATCCAGCCTGCCAGCTAACTAGGACCAAACCCCATCCGCTTTTCCCCCAGGGCAGGGTGTGCTGTGCTCCTACCCTCCTCCACCCCAGCCCTGGCCCTGGTCCTAGCTAACCCATACAGCTTCCAGGTGGGGCTACTGCTGCCACTGCTGCAGCCACCGGGGAATTCACCATTGATCATGTAAAGTAAAATATTGAAATGGCATGCATGCTGCACATACCAACCAACATTGATCTTTTAATGTAATCTGAAATCGTTCAATAATAGCAGCAGGTACCCTGTTGTCTTGTAAGTATGCTTTCAATTAACAGTGGTGAAATAGAAGAGTTAAATGTCCTTTTTTTTTTTTTAAATCAGAGTTGACAAGTTCATGGATCATGAAGGACGCAGACCCCGTATCCTTGTTGCTAAAATGGGTCAGGATGGCCACGACAGAGGAGCCAAAGTTATTGCTACAGGATTTGCAGACATTGGCTTTGATGTAGACATAGGCCCACTCTTCCAGGTATTATTTCTGTGACAGTGTCCTTTAAATGTATTTTGAATGTAACTATTTTCCTTTAAATACTTGTTCCTTATTCACTCTAGTGCCAATTTCAGTTTGCCACTTCATCTTGTTTCCCTTTAGACACCCCGGGAAGTGGCCCAGCAGGCTGTAGATGCTGATGTGCACTGCGTAGGTGTGAGCACATTAGCAGCAGGTCATAAAACTCTTGTTCCTGAACTCATCAAAGAGCTAAAGACTCTTGACCGTCCCGACATTCTGGTCATTTGTGGAGGCGTCATCCCCCCTCAGGTACTGCTTTGACATCTATTTTGGTAACTATTTTTTATTCAAACTTAATGTAATACAGTGTTACAGTGCTGCTGGCTTTTCTGCACAATTGCCAGGGTCCATTTCAAGTTGTGTTGCAAGCCTGGGTTTTTGATCTATGATTTCCCTTCCCCAATCTCTTTGTACTCTTAGATCTTGGGCAATCTGTCATTCTTGGTTATTGGACACTGCTATAGCTATGTTACAATACTTTGGTATGACTGTGCTTTGGAAGCCTTGAATCTGAAACTGTGAACTGCTTCCACTTAAATAGAGCCAAGTTTGCATGAAATGTAGCTACTGTTTTTAACGCTACCCAGAAACACACGTTAGGAAGGGAAATGAAGGAATAAATAGCCACATCCCTGGTCCGTTTGAAATCTTGGGAGATTCTAGCATTAAACTGACGTAACATTTTTACGTAGGTATTTTTTTAGACTGTATTCTGTTTGGCTTCTCTTTGCCATGCCTAGGGAATGCTGCCTGTTTCTGGGGTTAGATGCAACTCCTCCCGTCTAACTGTTCTACAGGTACACCCTAGATACTGTAAGGGTGTGCTTTACGTTTCACTGTTCACTATTTATTTACATTTTTCTCTAAACAGGATTATGATTTCCTCTATGAATCTGGCGTGTCCAGCGTGTTTGGTCCTGGGACTCGAATTCCAAAGGCAGCAGTCCAGGTGCTTGATGATATTGAGAAGTGCCTGAATAAGAGACAGCAAACTATGTAACAGTGACATTTCCCACGGTGCTCTCAGCCTTACAATGACTATTTACAGAATGTGATCACAAGCTAAGAGAAGCTAGCTATGTAAATTTGGTTGTAATGTCCAGTGTCGTGTGCTTTCTAAGAAAGTTGTAAATTCTTGAGTATTTTTGCGAGGATGATTTATATACATAGGCATATGAAAATGTATGTCCAAATGGAGTTCAGTAAAAGTCCTTCAAGAATTTTGAAAAAATAAAATCTATTCTAACGTTTTTGGCTAGTAGAGGTTGATTGTTTCAGTGGTCTGGTTTCCATGTGGAGAGTACCTTCTTTCAATATTGAAGACTTTTGTATTTGACGGACACTTCAGGCAAAACCAACAGCACTCAGCAGAAAAGTTTAGAATAGCAAAATGACTGGCAGTTACTGCTTACCCAGTAAAATCTAAAGAACAAATCTCTGTTTGATTTGACTTGTGTTGGAAAGACACGGGAATAGAGACTGTGACATGTAGCCCCCGTTGGACAGTGTTATAAATGGTAAGTACTGCACTGCTTCCTTGCCCCTCCAGGACCACAGGAAGACCTAAATGCAACACAGCAAGTGCAGCATTGCTGCATCAGAGGAGACTAGACTGTTGGAGAAGGGGCTGCACAGCTCTGTGCCAGTCTGCATCTCTCTATGCAGGAGAGCTTTTCTGCCGCCTCTAATCACATGATGCCATCCTCAGTGGCTGGGGTCTAGGTTGTAGCCGTGTTGGTCTAAGGACATAGGCAGACAAGGTTCTTTGGGTAAATCCAATATCTTTTATCAGACCAACTCAAATAGTTGGAAAAATTCTTCTTTGCAAGCTTTCGGGTATAAATACCCTTCGTCAGGCTGAGGAAGCATCTGCAGTTGGTCTGTGCTCTTCCTAAATGTAATAAAGATCCTCAGTGGCTCACATTTTCTCCCTTCTTTGCCTTTTGTCACTGTTGCTTCTGCCATCCCAGCCTGTCAAGTAGCTTCTCTCTCCTCAGGCAGATAGATCCCTTCTAAATATCTCACTACTGCTGCCTCCCATGCAGGGAAAGGCGTTCCATTTATGCGATTGAAATGGAGACGCAGAGGTCATTATAAGTCACAAAGGGAAAAAAGCATTTGTCCCTATGCTGTAAATCTTTGTCCAGCCTCACCCCATGTCACCCTTTTGTTTGATACTCTCTGTGTCAGCTTCAAATAAGATTCCAGGCTCTTAGGGGCACCTGCCTTTGCACGCTATTCTTCTGTACAAAGCTTTGGCACACTTTGAGAGGCTCAGTAACTCCGTTCTTTGCATAAATTGAAATCTACAGCTGGATGGCTTCCCTGCAGAAATTACTGATCCTGTCAATAGCATCTCCTGCTTGCTTTCAAGAATTGCAATTGATGAAATCCTTAATTAAAATAAGCCGTCTGATAGAGCATGTGCGCCTCTAATCCCAGCACAGCTCAGCAACAGACAGGCCAGTTGACCTGCTGTATTCTTTTCTCTGTCTTCTTAATCAAGGTTAATAATATTGATCCCAGCCAGAAATCTTGCCTCAAGACTCCATAGGGTTTTATCCTTGATTATATGTATCCTTTTCATTCTCTTTATGGAAGGCATATAAACCACTTTTGAGGTCTGATCCTGGATGTCTAGAATGGAAGCAGAAAAAAAAACATTCTCTGTCTTTTGCCTTTAGCACAAAGCAGTCTCTGGGCAAGCAGCTAGAGGCAGACCTAGTCAGTGTGCCATGCATTTGTGACTTCTGTTTAATTATTGCATTGTGGCAAGCACCTTCAACTCAGCAAATATTTGTAATATATATCTCATAGCAATACACATTCATGTTGATTTCTCTATGCAGCACTACTCTTCATCAGTACTAATGAAGTCATGCACTTCATTAATAGTCCTGCTTAATAAGTTTGTGCTACTCAGTGAACACTGCAATTACTTTTAATATGTTACTTTGCGAAAATGACTATTAAAATGATGGATGAAAAAATATTTTGCACTTATCTGAAAAAATCTTTTCTTCTGTGATATACAGAAAAATTTCAGAAAAATAACTTTATCATCAAACCAATTGTCCCCTTATGTATTTTTTCTGTATTTTATACATTGTTACATTATAATATAGTCATATATACATGCATACATACATATTAGCTAGGAGGGAAATACTTGGACTCCACGTCCAGTTCTAGGCACCGTACTTCAAGAGGAATGTGGCTAGCATTGAGAGGGCCCACTCGCGTGGTCAAGGGGCAGCGGGACAGGCCCTACGAAGAGAGGCTGAAGGGCCTGAATCTATTCAGCCTCCACAGGACGAGGCTGAGAGGGGATCTGGTGGCCATTTACAAACTCACCATGGGGGACCAGCGGGAATCACCATGGGGGACCATGGGGCAGGCTCTGTTCCCCCGGGCACCACCCGAGGTTACTAGGAAAAACAGCCACAAAGTGTTAGAGAGAAGGTTCAGGCTGGACATCAGGAGACATTATAGTTAGGGCTGCCAGGCTCTGCAATGGGCTCCCAAGGGAGGTGGTACTCTCTCCTAACTTGGGGGTCTTCAAAAGGAGGCAGGACAGATATTTGGCTGGGGTGATATGACCCCAGCACCCGTACCTACACAGGGCAGGAGGGCGGACCTGATGATCTGTTTAGGTCCCTTCCACCCCTAAGTACTATGATACTAAGTTCGGTCAACTTAACATGACCAAATTTATTGCCCTTGCAATAGGGCTCAGTGCCATGCAGAGTGCCACAGGGCCAGCCACACAATCCCCACACATAGAAGAGTAAGACTATTTTGAGTTATTATGCAATTGCCTCTATATCCACTGCTCAAGCATACACAGACATCAACTCATGCACTGCTCAAACATAGTCAAACACTGCTCATTGCAGCTGGACTGTTCTCAGTGGTGGCAGATGACAGCACAAGGAGCAATAGGCTCAAGTTGCAGCGAGGGAAGTTTAGGTTAGATGCAAGGAAAAACTTCCAGAGGGTAATAAAATATTGGAACAGGTTACCCAGAAAGGTGTTGCAATCTCCATCCTTGGAGGTTTTTAAGGCCCAGCTCGACAAAGCTTTGCCTGGGATGATGTAGCTGGGGCTGGTCCTGTTTTGAGCAGGGGTTGGAATAGATGTGACCTCCTGAGGTCCCCTCCAGCCCTCATTTTGTATGTATCAGGACAAAAAATATTTTTTGAAATATTAAAATATAGCAGATGTCTGCTTTTTACGATATCATTTATCTATAATTTGTTAAAATTACCTCTTCTGAAAGATTTCTGTGCACGGCCCTCAACAAGCTCACCAAAACTCGTTAAGCAGCTGAAATAATTGCTCATCTCTGGCTTAGCCAGATCCCAAAAAGGGCTTGGATAAATTTTTGGAGGAAAGGAGCAACTGTTGCTTGGGAGCAAGGGGCACAGTGAATCGGAGCTTTGTAGCACTTAAATGCTGGCAGCTGCAGGTGGCAGAGGCAGGGAACAAAATCCTGGTCAGCCCTGCTCGCTCTCCCTTTCAGTGCGCGCCTTGCTGCTGCGCTACGTGGGAGATGGGGCATGACAGGCCTAAGGCCTGGCCCAGTAAATGTGGCTCTGACGATGCTAAGGTGCGAGGAAAGACGGGCTGCATGAACTTTGCAGGCAGTGGACCCCAAAACTGCCAGCCAGGCAGCAGGTCCAACCAGGGCTTCACCCAGCCCCCGCCTCAGCAGGAGGAGGCCAGAAGCTGCCCAACTTTATCCCCAAATCCCTTCTTAACCAGAACCCGCAGTGTTGCCAGCTCTCATGATTTTTGGCGCTGTTCTGGAAGTCTACACTTCAGGAATGTGAAAAACGTAGCTCTTTCTTTCCTCTATACTTACATTTTAAAATTATAGAATGTAATATTATACAATTATATTTCTATTTAAAAATATATTAAATTATGTATTTATATTTTCTTAAATGTACAGATATAAAAATATTTTTATATTTTTAAAATATAGAATGAAATATTTAAAAATTAATGTATATATTTTAAAATATATTTTTTAAAAAAAATTTTATTTATATATTTATATGTACATATACAAAAATACATTTATATTTAAATATATGACATTTTAAAATATATAGGTTTAAAAAAAAGCTAAGTTTTTCACAGGAGCGATGGTGGCGGGAACTGGGCGATACGCGCATGCGCACTGCCCCAGCAGAGCTGCCGCCGCGCTACTCCAGGGACTCAGGCCCCCACATGGGGGAGGGCAATGCGCATGTGCAGTTAGAGGGAGGGCGCATGCGCACTACCCGCCGCCAGGCTCGGGTGCGGACGCCGCGGC